TGGAAGTCAGGCGGGCGGAAGCTGCTGAGAGCCGTGCAGGGCTGGGCTCAGGGAACAGCTCACAGGCCGGTCCCCTGACCCGAGGCTCGGCTCCCATAGGACGGTGGTGCTGTCGGGCAGCTCACGGAACACACGTCCGTGTGCACGAGCACATGTGCACACGAAGGACAGACCCCGAGTCAGCTGGAATGTGCCGCGACAGTGGAACCGCCACCACCGCACCCCAGCGGTACAATCACTCAGAGCCACGGCTGCCTCTCCGCCCCCAGTGCCCGCGGCCCCCTTGGCCAGAGCTCTCCTGCCTACCTGAGGCGGGTTCATCCATGGAGAAGGCCTTGTTCTCCACAAACATGCTCTGGGACTTCTGCTCCTTCAGGATGGTCTCATAGCCCACGCCCCTGGTCGGGTACATGTTGTCCTCGTAGGCCTGCTCTGGGCCCGGCCGCGTCACCTGGGAGACCTCAGGGATGATGTAGAAGAAGACGAAGACGCAGGCATTGACCACCAGAGCAATGGCCAGGGTGGGGTCGTCCCAGGCCAGGCCTCCCCTCTGCTGGTTCCCGTAGAGGTACATGATGATCCAGACCACCCAGATGGTCATAGACAGGGAGGTGGTGAGGAGGATGAAGACGACGTGCTTCCTCCAGTGCTTGTAGCGGCCGCACAGGGCTGGCCAGGCAGTGGCGAAGGCGGCCAACAGGAGGAACATGACGAAGATGAGCGCCATGACGAAGTCCTCGTTGGCCACGGTGCAGGGGTCCTGGGAGGGGCCGTTGCTCCTCACCAGGGTGATAAGCAGCCACTCGGCGTTGATGATCACCTCCACCAGGGCCAGCAGCAGGGCCACGCCGAAGGTCACCCAGCCCTGCAGCCCATGGTTTCTCCTGGCCAGGAAGTTAAGGGTGAGGGCATGGGCCACCAGGCAGGAGAAGCAGATCCCGAAGAGGACCCCGAAGAGGAAGCGCCGTGAGGCGCAGGTGGAGAAGTCTCGCTTGACGATGAAGTCGAAGGTCAGGCCGAAGAGGCCGAACGTGCCCAGGAGGAAGAACGCCTGAGTCCCCACCAGGCTCTTTTTCCTGGGGTCCTGGGCGAAGGGCAGGCTGGCCACCAGGATGATGGCGAGCACGAAGCTGGTCACTGCCCCGAAGCTGGCCACCGCCTCCAGCACTATGCCCCAGGCCGCCGACAGGTCGCAGAGGTTGTAGTACAGCGAGGCCAGATCCGTGCCGCACCCGGACGGAGGGGTCTCCTGAGCTTGGCACACAGGAAGGAGGCTCAGCGGGAGCCACACGGACATCGGCAGGAACCAGGGCGTGGCCATCCTGGGCTGTCACGAAGGCACCGGGCGGGGTTCCCAAGGAGCCTGTAAAAATTGGACAGATGGAGAAACAGAGGTTGGTAACCTGAGAAAACAATTCATCAGCCCTGGAGATCGGGACCCCCCCAGGGGCGTGGGCCTGGGAGCCAGGCTGGAATCTCTCCAGCTGCTGACGCCTGTCCCGGGCTGCTGCTCAGGCTTGCGCCACGGCCTGCTGCAAGTTTCCCAGGCTCTCGGGGGGTCGTCTCCCTCTACCTGCCAGCAGCACCTGGCTCTTCCAGTCACCGAGCCCCGGCCTCCCTCACCTGCACGCAGTGCTTTCTCTAGCGTGTCCTGCAGGCCCAGGCCAAGAACCACCCGACTGCACCTTCGCCTCAAACTGCCTCAAACTTCCTGCTCTTCTCTGCCACTCGCTCTGTTTTTGGCAGACTCCGTATCCCCGGGATTCACACACTCCCCCACCTTGATCCCCGCCTCCCCCATCACATTCCCAGCTCCACTCCACCCCGTCGCTGCAATGTCACCGCTGTACTCTTCAAAATCAAGAGCCGTGACTTTAATACAATTGGCTTCTTTGCCGCCCTGCCCCTCCCGTCCCAGTGGAAGTTACAGCGAGCTGGGATGCTACGGTGGCCGGTTTGCACCACCTAGTTAAGGCTCCTGGGTTTGCACCTTGCTCCTCCTGGATGTGACTTGGCAACTGTGTCCCCCTCTCCAAAGTAGGGTGACCAGGTGTCCTGATTTTATAGGGACAGTCCTGATTTTTGGGTCTTTTTCTTATATAGGCTCCTATGACCCCTCACCTCCGTCCCGATTTTTCACACTTGCTGTCCAAAGCTAAGTAGGCCTGGCCCAGGCCGGTGCTTGGCTAGGAGACCCACAGTGCCCTAGGGGGAGAATCAGTAGAGAACCCTGGTACGAGGAGTGCTGAAGCGCAGCTGTTTGCGTGAGATCGCTTGCGATCACTGAAGATCACACAGCCTGGATGTCCTGGCCAAATCCCAGTCTAGGGGACTGCATCCTTCCTAAATCCCTCCCGCCCCGATCCAACTGGACGTGGCTTCCTGTCCTAAACGGGCCGAAGGTGCCTTGTTAAATGGCTGCTCTGGCTCCGCCCCAGAGGTGGCTGTGAATGATGGATTCATTCTCGTCAGGACAGCTTTCCCTGGACAGGCGCGTTATCGTACGGAGTCCGCCAGGGACATTGCTTTGTCCTCTCCCAGAGGAGGAAAGCGAAGCCTGTAGGGGCTGGATGAATCCAAGGCCCCAAAGAGAGAGAATGGCAAATCCAGGACCCAAGTGCTCGGGAGATCCCGGTTCCCAGGCTTGTGCTCTGACTGGTTCGCCATCGGGACAGCACTGGGGAGTCGGAGTGATCTGTCCCTTCCCGAGGCAGCAGCTACGGAGCCTTTCCTATTCCGGAGGAACGGGCGCCGCACTTAATCCTTTACACCCCAGGACAGAAAGATCCCTTCACTTTCACTTGTCTCCTAGCAGGCCAAACCCAGGCCCGGGGTAAAGCTCATGCCAATGTTTGCCCCACGTACGTCAGCCTGGCTTAGAATTTCCTACGGCTTGGATGCCATCACGCTCCAGGAGCTGGTTTGGCACAGTCTAGGCTGATGCCATTTTTCTCCAGACTTTTACAAGCAGCATGTCGTGTCCGGGGAGGGGAGCAAGGACAGAGCCTTGTGGGAGAAGGATCCGGCCTACAGAACGGGGCAGGTGGTTACTACTGGGTTCCACACGGGCTGGTTTCAGACCCAGGTCTGGGCAGAAAGGCCCCTATTCCTGCTTCCACCCTGCACCCAGCCCACAGGGAGATTTTCTTACCTCTCTAGTACATTGCAGGCCCCTCCCAAGCCCTTTCCTCCACTAGCTGGTCCCTCATTCCACCCATCCCCATCCCTCTCTCCCCTGCTCTGTGAGGCTCTGCATGAAGGACACATTTCTTTGTGCTTAGCACAAACCAGCCATGGGCAAACGTCTCTTTGAGGTTTCACAGCAGAATCGAGCCACAGAACGTGGGCGGTGAAACAAGCCTGACCCAGGCTCTGCGGGCAGCCCCCACTGCCCCCCAGCCTCTCCGGTTCCAGGCACCTCGTGCTCACACAGGAGCCAGGCAGCATTTCCGTCTCCCACCCCCTCCCGGGGGGCTGGCTGTGGCCACCGCATCCATCCTGGATTGCCTGGGTCTGGCCATGGGGGTGGGGTGCATGTGTATATGACAGAGGAAAGATGGGGAGAAGAGAACCACGTCCCCTCCTGTCCCCATAAAACACCTACCGGGACAGAGCCACGGCCTCCCTCCACGCAGCACTTCCCTTTTCAGGGTGTGTCTGTCACTCCGCTCCTGATACAGCTGGGGAAACTGAGGGCCAAACAGGATAAGCCACTCACCCAAGTCACACGACAAGTCTGTGGGAATAGAACCCAGGAGTCCTGACTTCCAGCCCCTCTCCCGCGCTGCTCTAACCGACTAGCCCCCAGTCCCCTCCCAGAGCCAGGCTGAGAACCCAGGAGTCCTGGCTCCTAGCCCCCACTCTCCTCCCAGAGCTGGGGATGGAACCCAGGAGTCCTGGCTCCCAGCCCCCTCTGCTTTAACCACAAAACACATTTATCCTCTGAGCCAGAAATAGACCTCAGGAGCCTGGAGCCCCAACCCCCCTGCTCTAACCCACCAGCCCCCACTCTCCTCCCAGAGCTGGGGATGGAACCCAGGAGTCCTGGCTCACAGCCCCCGCCCCCCGCCCCCCACTCTCC